AAACATCACTAAAATATAATTTTACCATATCTCAATTACTAGGTTAACGTTCAACTCAGACAATTATTAATTTTTTTAACTAAAAATAATATATTTAGAACATATAAATAATAGATGATCATTTAATAATTTTTAATAATTAAAAACTTAAAAAAATAATATTATTTAATAAAAAAACCATTTTATATCTTTAAATAAATGAAGACTCGACGAAACAGTCTCTTACCATTCGTATACTTTACTCGTAAAATTAATATCAGGAAATGAAAATAACAAAATAAGCACAATATGCGGTGAATATTGCATCAAAAGAAAAACCAGAACTGTCATGGAGAAGATGAATGATGAGACAGACAGAGAGGAAGTTAAGAGAAGGGTTTAGGTCCACCAACTGGTTGTTAGAGGTTAAAACTCTTTAACCAAACATTTCCTCAACAATACCCAAAGAAGAACAAGAGGAAGAATTTGATAGAATAAGCAAAAATAAATAAAATAAATAAATAAGAGAGAGAGAGAGGTCAACTAATACCATTTATGACAACCAGGTTTCAAACTAACAACAACATAAAGCATAAATGTTTTTCCCCCTACAAAAAAGAGAGAAAGTCATCATCTTTAGAAGGGAAAGAGAGAGGGGCATCGGGTTCATGCTTGTGTATATGAATCTCTCACGTGGGTTTGATCATGGAAATGATGGATGGAGAATATATGATTAGTGAAAAGAGAGAGCAAAAAAAGTTATAATAATTTCATCCTTTACTCTTTTCTTTTATCTTCTTGTTCCTCTGTCCTTCTGTCTCTATCTCTCTCGCTGAGTTGAATTTTTATTAAACGAAAAAGAAGAAGCTTTTTTTGTTTATTTTGTTTTATAGTTTTAGTTTAGTATCCGCAAAATTCTGGATGAAAAGTGAAGTGTTGGTTTCTTTGTTCTGGGTTATTGGGATAGAAAAGTGTTTGGTTTCTTAAAGATTTTGTTTTCTATCGGTGTTTTTGAGAATTCCTGTTCCCCACAACTCCCACAGCTGTTACTGGTTTTCAGGTATTTTTTTTATTCACAAATTATCTTTCATTTTCTTAAGCCAAAGAGATGTTGGAAACTTGTCTTTTTCTTCTCTTCTTTCCATAGTTTATGTCTCCATTATCATCATAAGGAACTAATTTATTGGGATTTACAAATTCTGGGTTTGTCTTGTTTCTTTGATTCTTTATTCCCTGTGCTCATAACTCTTGTACTTTGTTCTTCTTGATAATGTTACCCTGGTTCGAGTTTTGTGTGTAAATTCCTGAAATAATATGCTGATTGATTGTAGATTTCACATAATTATTCCCTTTTACAACTTGTATGCATAGAGAATTGGCAATATCTATATATGTGTGATTCTTGTTTACTCTTTTGTTCGAAGTTCCCTTTGTTGTTTGTCTTTCCAAATTATGCATACTTCAGCTTTGAATTCTATATGATTATCTTCTAAACAGGCTCTAAATTGTTTATAATGGAAGTCATTTCAATTGCCTGCTTTCAGTTCATAGGATGAGTATATAAGGTTTTACTTGAACAAGTGCGGGAGGAAAGTTTCAAGGTCCAGAGAAATATTATGGCCGCTTATTACACTGGTTCTAATAATCAAAAGGATACTGCTCCAATGATCTATTTAAGAGAACCGGCGCCTGGTTCATTTCATGAGGCGACAACTCTTCCTAGTAGTACAATTATGCATATGAATTACGGGTCGTATTTAGATGCATTTGCTGGGAATTCTCAGCAACAAAGTAACTGCACTGAGATGCAGGCTGTGGAAAGTTCAGATTCAACTCCACAGAAGCAAGAAATCTTGTCAAGCCTGGGTGGCTCATGTGTTGGGGAGCAAGATTTTGGTGCCTGGAGGGATGGAAGAAGTGATATATTACTTATGCATCCAATGGGCGATACTGCTGGTGTCCTTCGCGGTGGTCAAAACTCGCAAGGTCAAGGATTATCCCTAACCCTTGGAACCCAAATTCCCTCAGGAATTCAAATGGCTTCTGTCCCATATCGAAATCTCAATTCAGGTTTTGCTTCTTTCTTGAGTCCTAATCCATTACTTACCGGAGAGGGTGACAGAAGGAACAAACAGTCGAGAAATGCAGAGTATCTTCCACCTGGTTTTTCTTTAAGTAACCAAGATTCAAATAAAGGGGATTTATCTGCATATGGAATGTCGAGTATTGCAGAAGATATTCCTAATTCCAGATATCTCAAGGCAGCACAACAACTGCTTGATGAAGTTGTTAATGTTCGAATGGCTCTAAAGCAGTGCAATGGAGAGAAAAACCAAAGCTCAGAAGAAAACCGGATGAAGAGTTCCAAAGAGGATGATGGAGGATTAAAAAAAGTTCTCTCAAACCAGCAAGAGTCCTCCAATAACTCTCCAAACCAGCTTTCACTTGCTGAAAGACAAGAACTACAAAACAAGTTAACGAAGTTGTTGTCCATGTTGGATGAGGTAAGAATCAGATCACATTAATGTAAGCTTTTCCTATATACTCCTAGGAGCTATTAAATCCGAAAAGAAGCATTGACTAGTAAAATGTGTTTTCTCCTTGTTAATGTCTGATACTGAATAGTATGTTGATGCAGGTTGATAGAAGGTATAAACAGTATTATCATCAAATGCAGATTGTGGTGTCATCATTTGATGTGATAGCTGGGTGTGGAGCCTCTAAGCCATACACAGCACTTGCACTTCAGACTATATCCCGCCACATCCGGTGCTTACGAGATGCGATTAATGGTCAAATTTGGGCAACACGTGAAAGTCTCGGGGAGCAGGATAACTCAGAAAATAGTAAAGGAGTAGGAATAACTCGTCTGCGCTATGTGGATCAGCAGCTGCGGCAACAGAGAGCTCTTCAGCAGCTTGGAATGATGCAACAACATGCATGGAGGCCTCAGAGAGGGCTGCCCGAAAGCTCAGTTTCAGTACTCCGTGCTTGGCTTTTTGAGCATTTTCTTCATCCGTAAGTTTTACTTAACACTCCTTACTATTATCTCAAATCTTATTCCTGTTGAACTTATTTCTGTTCCTGTTGTCATCCAGCTACCCAAAGGATTCCGATAAGATCATGCTAGCAAGACAGACAGGCTTGACTAGAAGTCAGGTAATCAAAAATTAATCATCTTATTGACATGAGATGATACAGATGTGATTAGCAGTGCTTGTTAAATTAGGATTTTGTCAGTTTGTTTCATGTAAGGGGTGTTCACTTGAAGCTTTGCTCAGAAAGTGTTGTTAAGGTTTTGAAGTTTAAAATTAGTGGTGGAACTTGGAAGCATGGTTAAAAATGCTGGATATACAGTAAAACTACTTTGTAACGAGTACGAATACAAAGAACTCGTATTGCAAAACATGGGATCTAATTCCTCCAAATTGACGAATAGTCAAATGGTATTTTATTAGACCTGTTCTGCTCACCTGAAAAGCATCAAGTAATTCAGTAGCCTCTTAACCCTCAGCATATAGATTATTGCAAGTTAATAATTGTTAGAATATATTAAATTCCTGTTTTGTTGTACTGGTTGAGTTTTTAGTATTGATCAGTATGCTCTTTTTAGACAATATCTGTAAATGAAGACATAATTTCTATATGCTCATTGTTTATGCCTTGATGATATATTCAGGTTGCCAATTGGTTTATAAATGCACGGGTGCGTCTCTGGAAGCCTATGGTTGAAGAGATGTACAAGGAAGAATTTGCGGATGCAGAAATGGACTCTAATTCTTCATCCGAAAATGCTATCAAAGCAACAAAAGGCGATACGATGGCCTCCGGGGACAGAGGTGAAGAGGTGCAACAAAGTGGAAGTTCTTCGGCCATGGAGGGATGTAACACCAGACAGTTGGTGGATTCCAATGCTGGTCATCTTCCTTATGTAGTCGATATGACGGGATCAATTAATGGAGCTGGTTTACAAAACATCATGCGAGAAGAAGCTGATACCATGTTACTTAAGCTAAGGGAGGAACAGAGGCCCAATATCGATGACTCTAGCCTCTTGCCTGATGCAATTTCTCATCCCGATGGCGATAATGGCCAGTTTATAGCAGCTGCTACTGCTTACCACATGTCTGGATTGGGGAGTTTCGGGAATGGAACCGGTGTCTCTCTCACTTTGGGATTGCAGCATTGTGAGGGTGGCGATATACCAATATCAGGTGGAGGTCGTCAGAATTTTGTTGCAATGAGAGGGGGTAGCATGTACGATCCTGCAGCATCGAGTGCCGAAACATCAGATTTTGAATGCATAAATCCCGGAAACCGGGAACATGGGTTAGTTTCTCTCATTTAGTACATGATTTTGTAGCATGAAATGTGCTTGGCTGTTGATTTAACATTGGTTAATCTTGATACTATTCTCTTATGGAATTGAGAAAACTGGAGAGCCAGAGCCAGGTTTGAAGCTCATCTGAACATTTTCATTGTGTTAGCCAGCCAAGGTATTGGTACAGTTGTACAGTTGTAATATATCAAAAAAATTGATTGGAAGGACCAGCATGTTTGTAATGATACACGATTTTTGTTTAATTTGTTAAGGGAAAAATTATGTACAAGTAAACAAAAACCCCACTTGATTTGAAATAAAAGGTAGGAATTGGCTTGTTTTGTTCAATACATTATTGGAATTGTACTTTGCATTCTCTTTCCTTATTCCAGTTTAAGCTTTCTCTTCGAGATTCTATCAACAAACAATTGATCTAGGGGAATGAAACACTATATCCTTTAAATAAGATTAAGAATCTGAATCCTAACATTTACAAATAAAGTAAATTAGGTTGAAAATCGTCACTTTCATAATGAATTTTTGTAAAATTTAATCTAAAATAATCGATCAATAGATTATATATCATATCAAAATATCATAAATAATATTAAATACTTAAATCTCCAGTCAAACTTTCCAAAAAAATTTCTCAATTTAGACCAAATCCCAATAAATCCCATCATTACAAAGGGTAAGCGCCTGGTCTTATTTGAAATCCTATGCAAAACAAAGGGACATTGGTGAAACAATCAAACGCTTGTAAACCTCATTGTTGATGTCCTGAGGGCGCAACAACATAGTTTTGGCCTAGATTTTTACATGGGCAGATAAACTAACTAAAACTTTTGAGTATTTAAAGACAGATCTGCAATGGCAGCAATTATATCATCTATTGGTTCGTCTTTCGGGTCTTTCCATGCTGTTGAACTCTCAAAAGCCAATGGCATGGATTGGAAGGAAGGCGTTGTTTTACCAGAAACCTTATTCAACTCTTTAAGGTCACCTTCCTCATCTGGAATGTCCAAATCCCATACCCTGAAGATATCCACAGTTGATGAGTTCAGCTCCTCTGCAGATAAAGTCGATTGAATTCCTAAATCAACCACATTAGCCTTTCTTTCTTCCTCCTTGTAGGTGGGCCGAAAAGGATCTTCCCGTAATGTTTCAGAGGAATCTTCCTGAAGAAATTGCAGTTTAGTGCCAGTTCTCTTTTTTATAGGAATATTGTTGGGGTTTGTTACATAGTCTTCGTTCGTTGGAATGACAAGAAGATTATCCTGAGTTTTTCCCAAGTAATTGCCAGCCTCTTCCTCCTCGATGGAAGGAACTGTACTGATTTCAGTACCACCCGGATTCCAATTGCTTCCGGTTACCGAAGGGTCAAGTGTCTCGGGTTGGTCACCAATGATTTCCAGCAGAACATCTTTGAAAGAAGTCCAATCACTTTCCAAAATTTCAGTATCTGTAACTAGACAAGAATTTACCCAAGCCAAATCCTCATCAGAAAGATTCTCTCCCTGCTGGGTAGATTCCAAAGATTCAAGGATAATAGAGGAAGCAGAGCCGTCTCTTGTGTCATCTTCTACTTCCATTGCTACAAAATTAACAGTTAAGTGTCAGTAATATCAATAACAGTAATTTTTTTTTGGATAGAAATATCAATAACAGTAATCAAAGACAGCTACATGTGTCAAGCTTCAGAAAACCAAAAATACTTGCTTCAGGAGCAATGTAGAACTGCAATGCTTTCACTGAGTAAATGTCAAATTATAATCCGCTTAAACCAACTTATTTGGTTAAGATACCCCAGACGCATATTTATAAAACTACAAAACATTTAAAAGTGAAAACCAATCCACAAAACTTATTCTCCAAATATAATGTTACATCTAACGATTCTTCGGATAAACAATTTAAGAATAAAAAAGAATTCATTTCATCAACTAGAAAAAGATGGTAAACACACTTGTTCAACACTGAAATCTGATGTTTTAAGTTCAATTTCGAATTCTCAACCACTCAAACAAACAAATTATAGAACACCGCAACAATCTTCTCTAAACAATCATGGCCCAATAGTACCCAAGCATCAAATTCAGAATGGTGAAAACACCCTCATCAGAACAAAATTTCAACCTAAAAGCTTTTTTCTGTCCCTTACAATTTTGAAGTCCAAGAACAAAAAGGCATGATTCAAATAACTATACTTAGGAGCAGAAATTACCCAAACCTAGTAAATTCTCACAGCAGCAATTACTTAAGTAAAACTGATATAAACATAATGTAAACAAAAAGGACAAAATTGCTTTGCAAATTAACGATCAAACAAATCATTATAACAGCGAGAACTTGGAATAAATCTTTTCGGGTTACAAAAACAGAAGGTAAACCTATAGCGCAAAGTATGGAAATTGTTGATGGGGATAAATCTTGCATAGAACATAAACCATAACAATTAATATAAAACCCTAAACCCACGCATAAAAATTCCAAGTTAAAAACTTGGATGAAATAGGACAAGGAATAGAGAGAAATATACATACCAAATTGAAATTATTTAGAAAATTCAAAATTGTAAACCCAAATTTGCGTTGTGTAGAAGAGAAAGTGGGGATACCTGTACTATATATATTATGGACTAGGCGAAGGGAAGAAGACCAGGAATTTGAGGGAAACGGGCTCTCTAGAAAACAGATTTCTACATTAAAAAAGCGTATTTGAAGAGAGAGATTTATAGGCGGCGTTGAAAGCTTTTTCAATAACGAAATCTCTTTCTACAGGGTAATTCAAAAAGTTCTTTTTTTTATTTATAAAACAATATTTCTTTTTAATTTTTTATATATTTTTCTTTTTTAAAATTCGACTTAGAATCGGTTTAATATTGTTTTTAGAAAGTATAATTAGAGTCAAAAATAGTTATTGAATCATATATAATATTAAAAAAAATAATTAAAAAATCATTTGAGTTGATCGTTAATGAATTGAATGATATTATCTTAACGACTTTGGAAAACTTAATCTTCACATGAATATTGAATCATTATATCTATTAAAATTAATTAATTAAATTACGTGAGAAATCAATATCCATTCATCTTGATGATTTCGTAACAATGTGCTTGATACAATAATGTCATCGCAATACGTTAATACACCATCTACGTTACATTTGATCCATCCAACTAGAGGTGATTCTCATTTAGTTATGTTGTTATTACAACTATCTTGAAATGAAATAAGATTCAATACACCACGATTTTTAGTTAAGATATTCTCCAATAATCTCGAAATACTTTTAGATATATTATTATTTTGTCAATAGTTTCTAGGGTATGTAGTTAAACTTCTCTATTGATACTTTTCTTTTCCCCCAAATAGTGAGTTCAATATTCATTATGAGCAAAATTCCCTTTTTCCCCAAAGATTTCAACTTAAGAGAGTCAAAGTATAACTTTTTTAAAGTTAGGAGACAATTTCATAATCATCTCATAAATACTTAAATTATATATATAAATTAAATGTAAAAAACTTTTTTTCAGGTGGGGTTGCACCCCCTCCGAGGATTTAAAGGATTAGAATCGCGAAATGCATGTTAAATGCGTGGCGTGATAAGGAATCCTAGAAAAGATCTGTTGAAAACATTGATCAGCAACAAATCATAGAGAAACAAGAGAGAAAGCATCAAACACAAAGTTTGTGCAATTCAAGCCAATTTTCATTCAATATTCATTTTGCTTTCAAAGAACACTTATTGTGCTCATTTGTAATTTTCTTTGAGTGTTCTTTTCTTGTTCTAGAATTGTGCAAACATCTTACCTTGTGAGGTTTTCTTGTAAGTTTGCAAATTTGTAATCTTCTCTTTGGGAAAAAGAGTGTTCTCAAGAGTTGGGGTATACTCTTGAGGGAATTGTAAGGTTATCTCTTTGGCCTCAAAAGAAAGAACAAATTAGTGAATTTGTTGGAAAATCCTTAGTGTGGATAGCTAAGGTAGTGGACGTAGACTTTGTTTGAGAAAGTCGAACCACTGTAAATCGCTGTGCAATTACTTTCAATTTTCTGCAAAAGCTTCCACAAAAATTTTAATTGCCAATTCACCCCCCTCTTGGCCGATTCCTTCAATCGATTAACTCAACAAGATCGATTGAGACGAACTGGACTTAGCTGAACACCAAGCCGAGATCCGTTTTACGATCCATCTGCGATTTGTTCTTGCCTTTTTCCTTCCTTAGATAGAAATTGTAAAAAAAAAAATAGGGTAAACTGTACGAATAGTTCTCTTTGTTTTTTGTTTAATCGATTTTGGTTACCAGTTTAAAAATTAATCATGTTTGATTCCTTACATTATTGATCTTCTTGTTAACTCATAAACGAAAACTTCAACGTGTCTTCACGTGTCTTCATGTGTCTTCTTCGACAAGCAAAGCTTGATTTCTTGTAGTTGATATTGAATATGTCCCATTACCAGCAAACCCTTGAGGTAATTGAGGGATGAATCTTTGCCTTCCATCAACAAGGAGGAGCTTAATTTGTTGTTCAGGAATCTAGTTTACTTCTTTATATCGAGCTTTCGGGACAAACACTACAAGGACTTCGAATGTGGCGCATCTGGATAAAGCTCCATCTTTAATGGCATGTTATTTGAGCTGTCCAAGTTCGTCGGAGTCAAACAAGAAAGATTTAAAGACCATTTCTTCTTCTTGGTAAAGCTTGTTTGTGTTGGATATATCTTTGATATCATCGGATTCATGGTGTTCAAACTCCATCATAGGTGGGTTTTGAGGTTTCAGCATGGTTCTGTCTAAAACTAGAGGGGTCTTTAATGGCAAACCTCTGGTAACTTCACCCCATCTATTAACAAATTCCACGACAGTAATCCCATCTAATATAGGTTCTGTCTAAAACTGGAGGGGTCTTTAATGGCAAGCCTCTGGTAACTTCACCCCATCTATTAACAAATTTCATTGCATTAATCCCATCTAACATAGGTTCTGTCTAAAACTGGAGGGGTCTTTAATGGCAAACCTCTGGTAGCTTCATCCTAACTATTAACAAATTCCATGACGGTAATCCCATCTAACATAGAGTGGTTCATGCTCATCCCAATACAAAATCCTCGACATTAGAACTTAGTCACATGGAAATCAAGAAGAAGATAACGTGAATTTTTATTTTTTTTAATTGTCACCGTAACACTTCTGTTAAAGGTTTAACGAGAGTTCACAACTAAAGGACTTAAACCGTATGTACCGATAACATAAGGGATCAAGTGAGGCCTAAAACAAAAGAGACTATTTTTATAGTTTACCCAAAAAATTATTATCATTCTCTGTCAAGTTCTTATTTCAAATAACCTTGTATTCCTTATATATTATAACTTATAATAAATAATTGGGTAAACTATATAAATGATTCGACAAATTCTATGACACTATTATGTTAAATCACTAAATGTTTCGATTATCAAAAGTTTCAAAATATTCATTCAACTATTTATATGTTCTAAACTCATCTTTTTCTATTAAAAATTGAAGGCCTTTAGAGTTTGAACTACGGTATGATAAAATCTTATCCTAGAACCGTTCGAGCTATATTTTGTGGATAGAGTCTATGTTTACATTAGACTGTCGAGTCAGTGCTTGAAACAATGTCATTGAATCAATGCTTGAAAACAACGATACCTATAGACATCATTAAAATTATAACTTTATCATATCTCAGTTAACAGATTAACGTTAAACTTAGACGATTGTTAATTTTTTAACAGAAAAAGGCGAGTTTAAAACATATAAATAGTCAAATGATTATTTTATAACTTTTAATAGTCAGAGAACTCAAAAAAATAACACATTATAGTCAAGGGACCATTTATATATTTTACCCTAAATAATTAGCACGTAAAATCATTGTTATTAACCACAAAACGTCATCAGTACAGATTCATGATCATACAGTCCTTTACCTCCAATGAGATAAATTCCAAGAATTTTTCTGGCTTAATTAGAATCCTCCAAATCACTATTGTCGTTTTACATCTAATGACTTCTTGAGATAGTTTCGTTTAACCAAATTAATAGCATGACACTTGTACCACCTTCGACCCGGTCTAGTCGAGAACCGGATCAACAATGTCACATTGACTGAAAGAAACCAATAACAATAGCTTTATTAATCCTAATTAAGTGAACCAAACAGGATTCTAAAGAACCTCGAATCTTTTAATTGCTATATCAAGGAACAGAAGGAAAATGAACAATATTCTTTTAAACCCAACCAAAAACCATCTAATCTAAATCACTTGACAATAAAGGGGAAACCCAAACTACTTAACAAATCTGAAATATAATCTATTATAGCTAAACGCAAATTTCAGACTAGTCAAAGATCATATACATGTAGCAGACTAGCACAGGGAAGTACCGTGACAGAGGATATGGTTTTAGCTCATAATCGTGTAATTTGCTGTCTTTCAATCTAAATTTATGCTGGGACTCGGTATTTAAACCCTGCTGCTTCCCCTTCTGCCGCGTCCGGAGAATCCTGATAAAGGTCCCTTCTTCTGCATAAAGAAAGAGAGGAATTAGAGGGGTTGTATTGTACAAGAGGATACAATAACTAACAGAGATTGTTTTCTTACACTGTCTCCAGTCTTTACCATGAATGCGGGTTTCGGCTTTGATTGCCTTCTCATAAAAGCTCTTTGAAACTCTTTCTTTTTCTCTTCAGCCTTCATTTTGGTGAGACTAGGCCTGTATATGATCACAGTCCGACCAATTTGACCGACGACGATTGAACCAGTTGCTTGCTCAAGTTGGCTCACCACAACCTCTAGCTCTCCGGGACAAGTCCGGTGAATTTTGATCTGTTAATGAAATTTGAAGTTGAAACACAGATATGCCAAATATTTCTCAACTCAAAAGATGAAATAAGAAAGAAATCACACTGCATCTTCACCAACAGCAGCTTCAATCTCAAACATTGGAGATTCATATAAACTTCAATTCCCAATAAACATAAAAATCAAGCTGGAATTTTCTGCTTACACACACAGATTCTCTATTCAAATGGAGATGTAACGGTGACAAGCAGTTCTAACTTCTAACCTGATAATTTTAAACCAACTTGAATATAATAGGAAAATTAACTACACTGTAATACACTACCCATAGCTGAGAATGCATCAAATTACATGAATCTATAACTTCAAAGCAAATACAACCACATATTAAATTGGACATCAAATTACAAAGAGAATTAGGAAATTTATCATGATAATTCAAAGAATATCCAGTGTCAAAAGCTAAAGGACTTAAACCCTAAACAGCATAATTAAAAAAAATGAAAGATGGTACCTTTAGAAGTTCATTGGCTTCAAGGGTCTCGAGAAAAGAGGAAATGACATTATCAGTAACACCAGATTTTCCCACCAGTTGACACTTCAATTTCTTCCCTAAACCATGTGCATACGAAGCCAGCTCTTTCTTCTCCTTAATAGTCAGATTCGGCAGTTTCACATTCTTAGCCTGGGTAATTCCTCCGACCACCTCCAAACCCAAATTTACAGGGCGACCTTCTTCGCCATCTTCAATCCTAACATCATCTTCGTCATCATTACGACCATGTTCTTCGACTTCATATTCAAAGTCTTCTTCTTCTTCTTCTTCTTCTTCTTCTTCTTCTTCTTCTTTGTGTAGCAAGGATAAAGGGTAGGTGTCATTTTGGTTTGAAATTGAGGAATAGGTGATAGAAGAAGATGAGCGGATTTGAGGGGAGAGAGGAGTATAAAGAATAAGAGCGAATGGGTTTTGAATAACAGGGATTTTATTGTGGATTCTCGAGATTGAGATGCAGAGGGGGTTCGGCATGAAACCGAGTGTTGCCGCCATTACTGGCACTGCAATGGGTCTTCTCGACACAAGATATTTTTGAATAAAGTTCGATGATGATAACATCAATCCAGAATCGGTAAACAAGCTCAATTTGAAGTGGTAGGATAAGCCTGCCTAGGTGTTTGGTTTAATGGTGTGATTCTCAATTAAGTTTTATAAGCTCCTCCCGTGTTTGATTCAGCAGTCCTCCATGACCAAAATAGAGGGGAAGTTTTATGGGTAAAGTATTAGTATGATGATTTAATTATTATTTTTATTTTGATTATATTTTTAAAATTTTATTAATTAGTTTATTTAATTATTTAAGTGTATCGATCAGCGATATGTCGTTAACATTTAATGAAACTACTGATATGATCATTAATAAAAATGATATATTTATATATTTAATCTTTAATAATTATATATTCTATTAATTTATTCTAATTTTATTTTAATTTAATAAATTAAATCTCTAATAAGATGGTAATCGCGTATCACCATTTAGTTAAGAGCAAATTATAAAGGAGGTTGGGAGGACTAAATCTGATTCTAATGAACGGAATGCAAACGTCTAGTTACTAAACCAACCTTAACATTTATGACATGTTTTACATAATAATATGTGTATGTTATATTGTAGTTAATACCATAAAATAAGAAATAAATGGTCAAGGAGAGATTTAAATATAGGCTACAAAGAGAATTTGGGAGTACCAAACTACAAAAAGAAATATTATATTTGATTAATAAAGATTTCATATATATATTTTAAGTATTAATTTATACAAGATTAAAAAACATAAATTTTATATTTGTATATTTTTAAATTAAATTAAATATTTATTTTTCATATTTATAATTCAATGATTATATAAATAATCTTAAAATGAGTCTTTCAATTTAATTAATAATTTTATTTTAAAAAATATATGAATCATTTATATTTTAATTATTTTTTTATTAAATTCTGAAAATGTATATTCTTAAAAAGTATACATTCTAATAAAATATGAATTAAAATGTATAATTATTTGTACATTCTATTATTTACTAAAAATAAAAAATAATAATAGGGTAAAGGATTAGTGATTTTGGTATTAAGGATTTATTAAAGATTAAAGTTTAAGGATATAAGGGACAATTTCGTATTACTTTTGAAAATTATAGTTTAAAATTTAACTATTTGAGATTGTCTTTAAAAATGATTTTAGAAAGATAAAACATCCACTTTAGATATTATATTATAGATTAAGAAAAAGAAGAAGAAGAAATCCCCAAAGAAAAGTCCCCGAAGAAAATGCCACGGGAGTATAACTGGAATATACCAGAATTACTTCAGATACCGGAAGAAGAGTTGGTAAAGATAGCAGTTGATTGTTACACAAAAAATTATTCGTATCAAGAAAGATGATTGTTTTGATACAAAGGAAGACTTGAAGATAGCTTTGTATACGAAATGTGTGGAATATGGCTATCAACTAAAAGTTAACAAATCAAGCAAAGATCGTTTCGAAACAAGGTGTATAATTGACAAAAACTGTATGTGGCGTATGATTGCAAAGAGGATAAAAGATTGCGAAATGTTTCAAGTTAGGACTTTTATTGATAAACATACATGTTCAAGAACTCAAGTTTTTCCTCACCATAGACAGGCAAACAAAAAGGTGTTGGGTGGTTTTCTGGCTGAGTTAATGTTTTTGAATGGAAGGGTATATCGGGGACATGAAATTATGACTGACATGAATGCTCGGTTCAAGATTAGTATCTCATATTCTCAAGCTTAGAGAGCCAAATGTTATGCCTTGGAATTGTTGAGGGGGTCGCCAGAAGCATCGTTTGCCCAACTGTCGGCTTATTGTCACAATTTAAAGCTGAAAAAGTATGGGTCGGTAACTCATATCAAAACAGATAGAGATGGACGCTTTGAGTTGCTGTTTATCGCCATTGGTGTTGCGGTTAGTAAATCAATATAATTTTGTTGACTCATTTTTGTTAGTTACATGCATTTCACATTTAAATGATTATATTTCTTGTGTATATGATTTTGTAGATTCGTTCGTTTATTAATTGCATGCGCCCAGTTATTATAGTTGACGGAGCACATTTAAAAGGTCGATACCTTGGAGTAAACTTATTAGCAGTAGCCATGGATGCTAACAATGGGATACTGCCAATAGCTTACGGGGTTGGCAAATCTGAAACCTCTGATTCATAGACATGGTTTATGGGGCATCTTAGGGATTGCATAGGTCCTATTATCAATCTGATAATCATATCCGATAGGGCAAACTCAATTGATAATGCTGTTAGAAGGTGTTTCCCATATGCTTTTCATAGACTTTGTGGTGTTCATTTGTATAGAAATCTAAAATCAAGGTCTACTGGTATAAAAATCACAAATGGACATACTGGAAGGCTGTAAAAGCTTATCGGGAAGTGAATTTTAATAAGCATATAAACTGTTTAAGACGTGTTTTACCTCAGTGTGCTCAAACACTAGAAGATGTCTGGTTTGAAAGATGGTCAAGAGTACATCAACTTGGAGCAAGATATGGTTTCATGACGTCTAATAGTGCAGAATCAATCAACGCTCTAAGTCGTCATTCCCGGAAATTACCCATTACTATGTTAATGGAGTTTTTTCGAGCATCTATTCAACAGTGGTACTACAAGAAAAGAAACCATGCAGGTATTATTTCTTTAAATTCGTAACTTATCATATATTTTACTAAGTATTATTTATTTAAATTTACAGGAACATTGGAACATCGTGTTACACCATGGACAGAAAAAAAGATAACCAAACGTGTTGTGAAGTCAACGTCATGGAGAGTTGAACCATGTTCAAACACTTTGTTTGAAGTACTGGATAATAACTTAAATGGGCTTGTCAATCTAAATGCAAAGACGTATAGTTGTATGAAATGGCAAACATCTGGTTATCCGTGTGGCCATGTTATAAAAGTTTCTCTTCATCTAAACCAAGATGATTCAAGCGCATACGCTATGGATTTCTACACTACAGAAGTATATCGACAGACTTATGGCGAGATTGTCTACCCTATTCCACATCTTTCTGAGTGGGACATACCAGATGACTTACAAACAGTTTTTCCACCAGCCATAGACAGAAGGCTACCTGGCCAACCAAAAAGTCACGATCGTATACCGTCTAAGGGTGAAGAGAAGAAGAGATCGACATGTAGTCGGTGCAAGGAAAGTGGTCATACAAGGTTGACATGTGGATCACCAGTGCCATCACAATCATCTTTTCCTCTACCAAAATATGGATCCTCATCAAAATCCCAATCACAACCGGCTTCACCTTTTGGGACTGTTAACTTAGGTGATTTTTAAATGCAAACGTTGTATTATGTGTATATTATGTGTGAACTTTTAACATTTTCAGTTAGGCATGTATTAGTAACTTGAGTTTGAACATTACTATGATAAGTTCAGTTGTTATCACTTATTAGACATTCATTTGACTATCGCAACGCGAAAATCGCAACGCGAAAATCGCAACGCGAATATGACTATCGCAACATGGAAATGACTATCGCAATGCGGAATTAACTATCGTAACGCGGAAATGACTATCACAACGAGAGAATCGCAATGCGAAATGAAAATCGCAACGCGAAATGAAAATCGTAACGAGTGAATCGCAATGCGAAAATGAAAATCGCAACGCGAAATTAGTTTCTTGTTGCGATTTTCATTTTCGCATTGCGATTCACTCGTTGTGATTTTCATTTCGCATTGCGATTGTCTCGTTGCGATAGTCATTTCCGCGTTGCGATAGTCTGTTTTGCATTCAACATAATGCAGATTGAAATCAACAAATCAACTATTACATTTCAATCAATTAAACAAGCACAAATATTATGTACACATCAATTAAACAAATCAACATTTACAAATCATCTTTTACAAATCAATTAAACAATCAAAAAATAATAATGAAATCAACTTTTGCACCCATACATCCATTTCACGCAGCTCACTTCAGGATTAACCTGCAGAAACCAAACATTGAATCAACAACACTCTCTACACATCTAAAATCTACAAACATCAAATTATTGAATTCTAGCTACTTAACCAAACATTTTCAAACCAAAAAGAGTAAATATGTTTAACAACACTTGCATTTGACTTACAAATTGTTTATGGACACTTTCATAACGCGGATGCAGGTAGGAAGCGTCTCGTATATATCGCTCTAGCCATAAAATGTCGAAACCACAAGCCTACTGCACCTCTATCTCTATCGGTGGGAGGTAGAAAATGTTTACTTCCTGTCGTCAAAGGCTCCAAGCATATGCATACGAGAGGACCACAATCCCCTCTGGCTTCCTTCATTTGTTGTGGCGTGGTCTCGTCTTTGATAACTGTAACATTGAACTTCTTTGGCTTCTTGTTTCCAGACTTAGTCCAATAATCAATTGCATCTAAGAATTTAGCCAAATGAGAGATCCATCCCTTAATCATATCTCTCAAATCAGACAATGATATGTAATTTATCATGCTGTCATATACTATTGTCTTTAGGGATGGGAGCTGAAGCTCGACGAGAAGCCAATGAGTACGGTCCAAAACAGGGATAAACACCTGCATCGAAATGTAATAATTCAAATTGCACACTTATTTATGAACACCTTTAAAATATTTAAACAAATATACTAACCTTATCGACCTCCCACCATGCAGGATAAAGTTTAGCTTGTCCATTAGCCAACACATATGATTCATGTCGTTGATTCTTCAAGTGAACTACATGAAAAGACGTCGGCATAATTGTATATCGTGTTTTTTAATATTTTTCTTCAATTTCCTTACAATTAGAAGACGTGTCACCCATGCATCAATATGCTGTTTTACAAAAAAAGACATATATTAGTGAATTACATAAATTTTAAAAAAAATTAATCAAACTTAACTATAAGAAATATAAGACTTACCCCCCATCGAAATAGCCGTTGTCTTTAACCCCTAATAATACACCCCACCAAGACCGTTGAATCAACAAATGCATATCATCGTTGAGTTTATATATGTCAGCGTAACACCCTTGGCTCCGCTCATGTAGATAAAA